TCACTAAATTTCTAGGTTTGAGATAGTTACCACACTATTCCAAAAGATCAATTAACTCAAAGGAAAAAAATATCTTGTCTGTGGCGATTGCAGTTAGTGCATAATTGATTTTTATCACGCATTTCCCCTCGACTAAAAAAATTAGACTGTGATAGTTGACCACTACGAACAACGAGTGTCACTACCTCTCAAGTATAATCAAAATTCTTAATAATGCGCACATATTCTTCTTGAACTACTGATGAATGGTAATTATTCAATATTGGTCATGGATCATTTGTCAAAATTTGAGAATAAATCGTCGCATACAAATTACAATCCTTACCGTGAGAAATTGGTTAATATATCTTCTTCACAGTATCTATCAATAAATTTATTCATTATCATTTGTCAATTATTAAACAAATTAGAGGTAGAAAGTCAATGGTGATCATCCAATTCTTCCCACAGTTTTTTAAGTTTCCCATGGTAAAAAACAATACACATACCTTTTTACTTAGAATTCTTCAATTCATCTTTAAGTTGTTGAATTCTTGATCCATTCACAACTAAAAATCTATTATGAATGTGCTCTACAAATCAACAACAATCTCCATAGGAGAGATCGTAGACACTACAAAAAAGATAAAATTTAGCTACAAAAAAATTAGCAAAAGATGATAAATTCGTAGAGAAAAGGTTTTTGCGACGAAATGAGTTTTGTCGCCTATACCGCGTTGGTAAAGATTTTTGGCGACAAATTTGACTTTTGTAACGAAAGATAAGTTTTTTACCGTGAAAGTTAAGAAAAGAGATATAGCTACAAAAATATGATTTCGTAGTTAAAACTTTTTTACTATATAAAAAAAATTCATAACAAATGAATTTTAGCAACAAAATATGGATGATGTTTTTTAGCCAAATAGGTTTAGCAATGAAAGATGATTTTTGTAGCTACAACTCTTTTGAAATCATGAACATAAGATTTTCTAGCAAAAAAGTTTTAACGATGAAATTGATAACGAAATCAATTTTTGTTGTTGAATGACACGTTTTAACTAAATATAATTTATAGTTAAAGACAATGCATCTAATTAAACATTTTTTTTTGGTAGTGAGAACAAAGACAATGTTCAATAGAATTTAAGATCGAAGACACTAAAAGGAATTAAATAAACCACCAATTCTCAAGATCTAACAATCCTGCCTCTAGCTTTTGAATTGAACCATCAAAAAATTCACACTTCTTATGTGTGCGAAGTGCAGTTCGAATGGATCAAGACCTCTAGTCATAGTTAATCTTATCACATAGTTGAACACTCAATCAATGCTCTTGGGTTATCATTAGTTGTGATATCATACGGAAAAATAATTTTTTGCTGGATGACAACAATAGAACCATCGGGGTTATTCGTTGAACCGGACATAATTTTGATAGAAATGATAGGAAAAAAAAAGAAAAAGATCTATATTATTAGGCTTTGATATGAAGACAAATAATTTTTTTATTCCAAAATTTTGTCTTCTCAGAGAAGAACCCTAGAATATATTACGAAGGATAAAACAATCTTATTTGAATATTTTCTACTATGTATAAATTTTTTCTATAATATTTTCTACACTAGAAGTTGTACTAAAAATATTTTCCTAAATAAATAAAGGTTACAAGCATTAACAATAAAGATTACAAATATTAACATAGTTCTTGCTCCCGGACATGAAAAGTTGAGGAAATGCAAAACACTTTATTAATTGCAAAGATGACTACTTTTCTGGCTCAGACGTTCTACAAGGTAGAATGGAGTGTCTTATAATTAATTATATATTCTATATTCTATATTCTATATCATTATCATATATTATATTTTGTTTTAATTATGTTGATTGCATTATGTTTAAATTTTAGAATCCATGTACAATTATGTATATATTTCTTTGTACAATCATAATTGATAAAAGAAAATCAATTTCCAATATTTCTCCCATTATAAGGCTCTGAGCTATCAGATGTTTTGTACGGAGTTTTTTTCTGATCAGGCTTGTCCAGGGCTCATTCTCTCTAGCGGTCATAGGGCCCCAATAATATAGGACTTTTTAAAAAATTAGCCTAAGTCAAAGTGTCATTTAAAATTCTAGCCTCAAAGGAATTTTCAAACTACTATATTAATATATTATAGTAGTTTTCAGAACTCTTAAAATTTTAAATTTAGAAGTTTTTAAAACTTTTAAATTATTAAATATAATATTTTTAAAAACTACTATAAATATTTTTATTAGAGTGCAACATGATCTTCTAAAGTAGAGTGCAAAATAATCTTCTAAAGTAGAGTGCAAAATCGTCCATACTTGAAATATTATGGGCTAAGAGATAATTGTAACAAATCCATACAAATCTTTGAAGAGTGTTCTATGGTATGTCGAGATGTGGCATCAGTGACAATAGGTTTACTATCAATGAGTAACTGATATATTATAGCAACATCTAATATAATTGTTGCCTCATCGAATGTGAAATGAAATGTATGTGTTTTAGGATGCCATCGCTCAACTAATGCTGTCAAAAGATCAAGATCATGTATAACATGTCCAACTCTATGTATAAACTCCTAGAATCGAGTTGCAATAAGTCGATTCTTTCTGATCAGGCTTATCCACAGCCCATTCTCTTTAGGGGCCATAGGGCCCCAATAATATAGGACTTTTTAAAAAAATAGCCTAAGTCAAAGTATCATTTAAAATTTTAGTCTCCAAAGGAGTTTTCAAAACTACTATGTTAATATATATTGTAGTAGTTTCCAAAACTTCTAAATTTTTAAATTTAGAAGTTTTTAAAACTTTTAAATTATTAAATATAGTATTTTAAAAAACTACTATAAATATTTTTATTAGAGTGCAAAATGATCTTTCCGGACAAATAAGACAAAACTTATGATCGGTTAATTCACCATTTCAAATATGTTCAGAACGGTGTGTAAATTGAAGATAAAATAGAAAATCGTTATTGGGGCCAAAAATCCCTCCCGATATGAAAACATCACAAAACACTGTCGACATTCCAAATTAAACATATACGTTAAAAATATGTGGTTTTAATTTAGTATATATATAAATATAAATAATACTTATATTGAAATCCATATCCGATTATATTAAAGCAAATATAAGCCCTTGAACACAAATATAAACTCCTAATTTTTTTTAAAACAATAAAAATTATATTAACTCAAAGTACTACTATTAGCAAAATGGTATAAACATAAATATAACAATAAGAATATGTAATATTACAAAAATTAGAAAAAATATATATACCAAAAGAAATTCAAATATGATAAATAAAAATTGTGAAAATTATATGATTATACAATGAAAATTAGTAAAATAATAAAAATAATAAAAATAATAAGATGATACCTTGTGAAGAAGATGCTAGCAAACAATCTGAATTGAAGCAACTTTCAAAAATTTTCAACCATCCGATAGAAAATTGGGGATATAAAGAGAGGTGTTGATTTTAGAGAAAAGAGAAATAAGACTCGAATTGATTTACGACATTTATATGAGAACGAACAAAACACAAAAATTAGAACAATAATTTTATTAATTTCTACATTAATCTCTCAAAGCCAACCAAACTCACCAAATGTATATTCCAAACCAGCAAACAAACAAACAAAATAGAACAAAGGGAAAAAAAATTTGAAAATCAATTACCATAGAGGAGCGGCACTAGCGGCAGCGGCAGAGAATCGGAGAAAGAAGAATCGTGGAAGAAAACCCTAAAGAATAGCATGAGAAAATGCAATAGAGATTTAGGGTTTTGAATGATATTTATTCTTATTTTTAATAAAAATATTTATAATAGTTTTTAAAAACACTATATTTAATAAGTTTTAAAAATTTCTAAATTTAAAATTTTAAAATTTTTGAAAACTACTACAATATATTAATATAGTAGTTTTGAAAATTCCTTTTAAAGCTAAAATTTTAAAGAACACTTTCACTTTAGGTCATGTTTTAAAAAGCCCAATAATATATATATATATATATTTATACTCTTATACACTAATATATAAATATATACTATTATTATTAATTTTTTTATAGAATATATAAAATTAATTTTTAAATAAAAAAATTATTTTATATTTATTTTTAAATAAATTATTTTTATATTACTTTTTTATTATTTATTTGTATATTTTAGTGTGTTTATTGAATTGTATGATTTTATATATTTTTGTTATGAATTATATAAAATTACGAAGATATGATAAAGAATAATATTTTGTGTGTTTTTTATATTTATGTTTATATATTTAAATTTGTATATTCTATTATACTTTTTGGTAATATTTTTAAAAATTGCTTATTATATAAATACTAAATAAACATTTTCTTTGAAAATTTTCTTTTAAAGATTTTGACTATTTATTAAAAAAAAAATTTAAATCAAATATTTTTTTGAATTTTTTATATTATACTAGAATATGCCACATTAATTTTATATTTATATTTTGATCTTTTTATAAATAAAAAATTAATTTTATGTTTACATTCATATTAAAAAAATATATAAAATTATTTTTATAATTATATTAATAAAAAAATAAATTTAAGGGTCTACTATTTTAAGTTAGCCCCGAGTCAGAAAAAAGTCAGGAAGATCTGATCGATTGAAATTTTATGAAATTAACCTAATATTATTGACAGAATTTTTGTGTGACAATAACCCCGGACAATCATAGAGAAAAAGATTTACAATTGTACATTAAAATTATATGTTGATCAAAATAATTAATAATCGTGTAAATTATGAGCAAAAAGTTGGTAAAACTGTAGTTATGCTCATCTAAGTGGCTGTGATAATATTATTCAAATATATATTTTTTAAAATTAAATGATATATGTAAATGTTGATTACAAATGTTGCAGATGAACATGACCGGAGCATCTTCAACAGTTCAAACTTCACCCATGTGGAATTCATTCCACGTGGATGAATTCTATAAATTAAAAAAAAAAAAATGGAAAACAGAGAAGTGAGCAGACGATGAAAATTCAAACCACAGGAACTCATTACTTCTCTATTTTTTGAAAATATATTATATATATATTTTAATGGTCGATGTCGACATCACGTCGATCCCTTCACGCAGATTTCGGCGGCGGCGGAGCCAAGTCCCGGGGCTTCAGGTACACCTTCAGTCCATTCTTCATGAAGAGAGTGAGCGACATCTTCTGCTCCACACGGTGGCCGGGCACCGCCGACAGCCGGTAGCGGAGGAGCACCGCCGACGCGACGGACTTCATCTGCAGATACGCCAGGTCCTTCCCCAAGCAGGTCCTGGGCCCGCCGTTGAACGCCACAAACATGTACATATTCTTGGGCGGTTCGAACCGGTCGCCGGCCGGGGTGGCGGAGATCCACCTCTCCGGCTTGAAGTCGAGGCAGTCGTCGCCCCATATGCTCCTCATCCTCCCCATCGAGTATATCGAGTACGTCACCGTCGACCCCGCCGGCAGCCTTGTCCCGTCCGGCAGCACGTCGTCGGCGACGACGTACTTGAAGTCCTCCGGCACGGACGGGTAGAGCCGCAGCGTCTCCGCCAGCGCCGCCTTGAGATAAACCAACCTGTCGGCCTCGTCGAACGTCAGCGGCTCCTCGATCCACTTCCGCGTGTCCTTCCCGCGCGTGTCGTGCAGCACCGCGGCCAGCTCGGCGACGACCGTGTTCTCAACACGGGGCGTGTTCATGACCAGCCAGAAGAACCAGCTGAGCGCCACCGACGACGTGTCCCGCCCCGCCAGCACGAAGTTGAGCGCGATCCTCTTCAGCACGCCGCTCGGAAAAAGGTTCCCGTCGACGTCCCTCTTCTTCATAAACCTCGACAGCAGATCGTCCGACGGCGTCTCCTTCCGCGCATCGAGCGCCTCCGCCATGTAATTCTCCACGACCTGTAAGCTCCGCCGTAGCCTCCGCTCCCCACCCACGTCCAGAAGCTTCTTCAGCCTCCATAGAAACCCTGGATACAGTAGCCTCTGAAGAGTCGCCTCCGTCGCCGAATCAAACGCCACCGCGAACGGATTTTCCGGCAGCTCCGGCGAGAGCGTCTCCGGATCCTTCCCGAAGGTCAGCCCGCAGATATTATCGAAGGTGAGGCGGAGAAGAAGGTCCTGCAAGTCGACCGCCGAGTTTTCCTTAGCCGCCTTTTCTAGAATAATCCAAAGCCGGGTTCTAATCGTCCGGTTCACCCACCGCGCCATGGCCTGCCGGAGCGTCCTCGTCGTGAATTCCAGCGCCGCCGTCTTCCTCTGAATCAGCCACGTCTCGCCGTCGCTGTTGAAAATCCCCTGCCCGAGAAGATCATGGAAAGCCGTCTGCCAGGTCGGCCCTTTGGGGTAATTATCGAACCGTGTCCGGAGAATATGCTCGATGTTCTTCGGGTGACACGTCACCGTGTAAAACCCCTGTCTCCGGGCAAGAAACGGCACCGCCACCGTGCAAGTCTGGTAGGTCCCGGCGCCGCCGCTGGCCTCTAGGTTTCCGGCGATCCAGTCGTGAATCCTCCGGCGATTCATGAACAGATACGGCAGGCTGCCGACCACCGGCCACACCCCCGGTCCGTTAAGTTTCCGGGCCAGAATCCAAAACCAGACGAGATAAGCTGAGACAGCAGCGGCCAAAGTGAAGACCGCCATTACATTATCCATGAGGACGATCGAAGAAGCTAAGTTAAGACAGGTGATTTAATTACAGGAAACGGATTTTTCCGGTGAGTGATGTGTACGAATTGGGCAGTAGCTCGTGCTTGTTATATACATAGCTATTTATGAATATCTACACTCACAGTTACGAGTGTAGCAAAAGACACGGAGTAGGAGACAGTGGTTGGGAAATTAAATTGTGGGCAAAGCAATGCAATGCAGTTCAAGAAATTGGGTCTTCGTTTGGTTTGATATAAGCGACTCTATCTCATCATATTTCATACGAAACTCCTCTGTACGTCCGTATGTCGTCATCATCGTCGCTGTCCTATTATTAATTCATGATCCACGTATAGGTATGTGTATACGTACCCAAGCCATGTAACAGTTTCAAACGCAAACGTAACAACTTTAGTTATAATTTAGGTTTGGTAGTAAATTTTATTATGAGTATTTACACATCGCCCTGGTTTAGCTGTCAACAGATTGTTAAATGTGTCAGATGTTTTTATGTCAATCAAATCCGACGTGGGGTTTAGATTTTTTTTTTTTTTTTTTTTTTTAAATTTGAACGGTAAAATTTTTGAGTTGAAATACTTCTAAAATTGGATATAAATAGGTACGGTTGATAAGATAATTTAAATATAAAATTTATATTCTAGTATAATATAGAAATATAAAATAAAATATTTGATTTAATATATTTTAAAAACAAAAAATTGATAAATAATAAAAAAATAGGACAAAATTGATAAAAGAACACACCGTAGATTTATCATTTCGGATAAATAACTATAGGGGCCAAATGGTAGATTTGGAGCATACCCAATCAAGGTATTCTCACTAATTTGGAGTGTGTTTCTTTTGATTTGGGTAGGAAAATTTTGGTTTATGTTTAATATTAAAATAATGCATAATATAATATTTTTTTAAAGAAAAAAAATATATATATATTTAAAAAAAAAATAACACAGTTCAAATAGTAGATTTTCTAGAGTTTTGAATAATAAAAAAACAAAATGGATCATATTCATTTTTATTTTATATTTCCTAAAAAAACTCCATGTGATTTTTTATTTTATTTCAACGTCATTATATAAATTATTTTTACTTAAAAAAATTATTAATTTTATATAATTAAGGGACACTTGGATTAAAATTCTTCTGAGCGAATACACATTTAAATTCATTACTTTTTATTTTCAGAGTGCACTGCATTCCCTATTTTTAATTTCAGTTTACACTTTTTATTAAAAAATCATAATATAATGTAACGAGTATTGTATGTTCTTATGTTAATTTTATATAAACCTACGTAATCTAATTACATACTCCAAAATTATCCCGCTGTACAAAAAAAAAATGTCAAGTCATGTATTTGGAATTTTTATTTATATACTGAAATCACTTACAGAAATAAAAAAAAAAAGAAAAAAGAAAAAAAAACTTCTAAAAACACCCACCATCTGAAGTTGTGGCTTGGTTACTTTTTAAACTCATCTCATCTCACACTATCCTTCTCCGTCGAAACCCCCCGCCAAAGTAATCGCCGTGAATTCTCCTCGCATAAACTTTCGCTGCCGTCGAAAGTCTCCACTCGCCGGCGAGAGCTCCGTTCCCACTCGAGATGTCGAAAAAAAACCTCCTTATTGAAGAGGAGTTTGAAAATTAAGTTAAAGTTCATATTTTTTGTAGGATCAAGTTTTTTAGTTCATAATGTGCTTGGATTTATTTTATTTGTATCTCAGTTAGGTTTGCACAAGAATTGGTAACAGATCATTTTACTTTGACATCGTATTGCACCATCGGTCGAATATGAGTTATTTTAATGTGTATAAAATTTTAAATGATCTTGTTGTCTTTAGAAGTATATTTATTTGCAATTTTCTACATTTATATTAAGAGTTAAATGGTTGAGATGTGAGGCGGTGCTTCTTGTTTTCTTCAAATTCCGTAGACAAATTATTCCTTGTCTGGTGATTTTTTAAGTACTAAGGTGTTGGACGATGTCTTTGTTATGAAGTTGGTTAGGGTTTAGGGTTATAGATGTATCTATTTTGTCAATTAGTAAAAAAATTTGTTTGTTCTTTATATTATTTTCGAGTGTCTCTCATTGTCTTTGGTGTGCCTTGATTGTTGATTTATATGTCTCAAATAGAAGATTACTTATCTTCGTAGTTATGCCATAAACTTGTGTTTGTGCTGAGTATACTCATAAAGACATATTTTTGTTGAAATGATGGCAGACCTGAAAAAAAATACAAAAGTCTTACCTCTAGATTATCTATGCATTTCTTTCATATAAAGATAACTAAACTTAAGATACTGTACAGATGCCAAGGTGAGAGTCTCGACTGTGGGCCACTTGTATGCATAGCTGAAAGCTACGCTTTAGACGATAAAAACCGTTACCCACCGGGCGGCTGGCGTCCGAATTCGATGATGCCAAGACTTGAGGGCTAAAATTGTTGCAAGAATTTTAGCAAAGGGCACCGGAGAGTCTGTCTAGTCCAATCGGAATGTTTATGATGCAATTTGTTACAGTCGGATTGATGAATAGCTTAGACTTGTGGTCAAGTATGGGTACTTAACCGTTGATGTTATATTTTAAAGTAGATTTTGTTGTTCACCGACTATTTTAAACTAACGCGTGATATTTTAAGAGGTTGTTTATATATACTTACATTTGGGTCATGTATATGTCTCTATTGATTATAGGTAATCCAAAATTTCTAATATATATCTCTATATGTTACTCGGACACCAAAATCACGTGCACAGACATACTGGAGGGGAACAAGTACCCACAAAAGTAAATGATATACTTCAGTTAGAAAATTTCCATAATTGAGTGTTGAAAAACCCCTAGATCGAGATCACATACCCCTATGGTGAGATTTGTACCTTCATTTTTAATTTATATACCCCTGAACTAATTGAATCTACTCGTACGAAGGAATATGATCTCTAAGTAACTTTACCCAGAATCAACGTACATTAAGAAGATGTGTACTCACAAATTGTTCTGAAAACACCGATGGACCGATGACAAGTCCACATCAATGACTATTATGTTCTCTACATTGTGGAAAGTTCAATATGTCTCACAATTAATATATTCTATGTTGTCTAGTCCATTTACTCATGTTGGGTATTACTTCTCACTCTAAAAAATATTTGGACGGACAATCACATTACAAAGAACGTGTTAGCTCATCAGTTATGCAGTGACTTCAATATGTCTATTACTATGGATCATCTCAACATATTTTATTTCATATGTATTGTAAGTGACATTCTTCATCCACCATTGAATGCATTGATAGATTCTTTCGTATGTCATCTCAGAAGAATTTCCTACTGTACATTCACTGCCCAGAAAGTGGATATGATGTAATCATCTGATAGCTATTTGATCTAACAACAATTATTGACAAATTTTAGCAATATTGGTTGAATACCCGTGTTTACATTAATAATACTTGCACTCAAATATGTATACCTCCGGTATTAATGAATATATTTCTCAAACATCATAGAATACTTGCATTGTCATTGTAAAAACTCCGTCGAAAAAATTAAATGCCTACACCTGATTCAATGTTAATGTAATTTGAGATAAATAATGAGAACACATTATGGGTCATGTTATATTGTAAAGAGTATTTTGGGGACACAAATAACTTCAAGTATTACGTTGAATTTAATAAGCCAAGCTCTATATCTATTGTCATTGTTGATAATTGTTATTCTTGGTCAGAGTTTATACAACTACAATGACGATAATATATTTTCGTTGTGAATTCATATACCCTTGAATACGACTAATTTGCAATTAATTTATAATGATATATACCCCTGTGTACAGTAAGGAATAAGAAGGAAATATCATCTAACTTTGAAATCATTCAGTAGTGGTCTCATACAAAGATTTACATTCAATGTACAATCAACCAAAAATAAAAAGAAATTTCAGTTATATGATGAGAAATAAAAAATAGCTAAGCTAAATCCTTCTTGCAACTTCGTTGGTTCTATCCTTGGCGACACAACGACCACAGTGTTTAGATTGTTTTATATGTTTTGATTCAAACCATCTTTTTTTGGCCGAGTTGGTTGGATAGATTGTAGAAGGAATTATTTTTGTCTGCGGGTTGTTCTGTGCCACATCCATATCATGAGTCGGCGCTGGATTAATGGGTTCTTCGTAAGTAGCTTTGTTGAAAACGGATGTCCATCGTTTCTTGTGGTGCATTGGATATCTCTACATTCCATATAATAAATGTAATTATCTTATTCCACATATCATAAAAAGTGAAACATACATTCTACACATACATGTATACAGAAGTTGTCCACTAAGTGCCAGAGACAGTACGCGTGGTGGCTCCGAAAAAAACGATGGGAATAAATTTTAGAAGTTTCAAGTGTCTATCCAAAAAAATATATTCTTTCCAATTATACCGAATATCAACATGAAGAAAAACCTTAACCTCCAACAAAATAATTTTCGGCAGACATAGCTGCATAGCAACAAGATTTTATGAACATCCAATCTAAAAACACATGGAATATATACCAAGGTTCATACATGAGTAGTCGAAGTACATATCAACCAAACTAGGACATTTTCAAAAAAAAAAAAAAAGCATACAATATTAGACAACATAGGTATAAGATTAATAAATATAGGTATACTCCACCAGAGAGGTTTTCTGTGAAAATGGCCACACATACTACCCTGAAATCGCAACAACCTCCTTAAAACTTTTTTCTCTATACATATTGTCCTATACTATAAAAAAAAATATCATCTGTTGCGCAAATAATCTCGAAAAAAGCACAATCACTAAAGGATTGGTGAAATAATAGTGAAGATGATCGATCATACCTGAATTTCTATCTTCGTCTTCAGTGGAACATGGGTAGAATCGATCGTGAACCATAACAACATCACTGTAATAAACCAATAAAATTACCGCAACAAAAGAACATCCAAAATCAAAACTTCCTTTTACCAGTGGTTTCCTCGTGCGAAATAAACCTAAAGATTGGAATTTGGATTCGACATTGCCATCGATCACGCACATATAAAACAAAAAGATGAAGGCTGAACGGAAGCTTTTCGCGCAAAAATACCCTAATGAGGAGAGATAAACATCAAAATAATAAAACTGGAAGAATATGAGGGTAATATTGGAATTGGAATTAGAGTAGCGAGTTAATACAAATATTTGTTATAAAGTGGGGAGTGCAGTGTGTCTGAAGTTTTAGTGGAGAGTGAATTTAAATATCAAAATAGGAATAGGTAGTTT